TGAAATATTTTTTCTAATTCTTTAATCCATAATTCAGCATTTTCTAGGTTATAACCTCCAGAAAATTGCGAAGGTTTGTTTCTCCTAAATTCAACTAAACCTTGTGATCCATTGATTCCTTCAGGTCTTTAGTTCCTTAATAATGCAGCGGTCATGTCTCAGATAACTTGTACCGCTTCTGTCAACTCGTTATTCCTTCTATTATTTGCCATATGGAATTATATAAGTTAGGATTCATAAGATATCATGATAGGCTCATTTCACAGGTTACACATGAAATGTTGCTATGATATCATCTAATGTGACACATTTTTTTTCTTATTTATATAAGAGTAGCGAGGTCAAATAAAGATATTACATATATGTAAAAGTAATTTACATTACTATATATATATATATATATATATATATATATTTTTTTTTTTGAGATATACAAAAGAAGAAGGAATTTTATTTATTTTTGATACATTCTATTCTTACTACAATTTTACAAATATCTACATTGCTCGTGCAAACAAACTAATTAAGGGGTTTTGGTAAATGGTAGGAGACATACAAAAGGTAACCACTACTTGGTCCATCTAACATAATGGGATTTTCCATATCAGATGCATATATTAATATTGATAATCATGTTCCTTTAAAAGTAACTGAGTTATCAATAACGTTTGTGTTCCAAATAGTTCCTGGAAAGAAGGTAGTGATGCGTGCAAAAAAGAGATTTGGAATATTTGACACCTCCATCTACTTAAGTTGGTATTTAAATAAAACATGCACAAAAGATCATAATAGGGAGTGAGAACATTTATCATTTACAATAATACAATCTTAATATATATATATATATATATATATATATATATATATATATATGTTTCAACTTCTTCAACACATTCTATTTTATGAAGATTTAAATTAAATTTGTAGTGACTAGTCAGGATAAATAAATCCAATTTTAATCACTCGTCGGTGATATTTACTCGTTTAAATCCCCAAGGTCCAACCTCCATCTACAATATCATCAAATATTCACAAATAGATATTAAAATAATTAAATAATATAACTATAAATTAATAAATAGGATCAGTTGCATTACTAGAGATAAAACAGAGTAGACAAACAGGACCAGTACATAACTGGAGATAATTAAAATAGGACCAATGCAAGACTGGAGATAAAATAAAATAAACAAACAGGATCAGTATATAACTGAAGATAATTAAAATAGGACCAGTGCAAAACTGGAGATGAAATAAACAAGCATAAGACAGGACCATTACGTTGTTAGAGATAAATAAACAAGTAACTAAATAAATAGAATGAGGTTAGGGACACCTCACTCCACAACTATAATCAAAATGACATAGATTTAATGATAATATTCTCCTTCCTTACCTTAAGAACTGCAGATGATGTAATTATAATAAAAATGACATAGATTTAATGATAATATTCTTCTCCCCTACCTTAAGAACCACAGATAATATACCAAAATTTTGCAGAGACAATTTTATATTTCTCTTTCTTTTCTCTCCTTATCTTTCTCCCTTTCTCTTTTTTTTCTCTCTCTCTCTCTTTCTTTCTCTTTCTCCCTTATCTTCCTAAGGATCTTCCCCCTTGTCCCTTTTTATAGCAATTTTTTTATTTAATTAAGTAATCATAAATACAATAATTATGATTTTGATAAGGTTTATCCTTTAGGATAAGATAATTTTATCTTATATATATATATATATATATTAAGAAAATTAATAATTAATATTTTTCTTCTCTTTCATGTTTATGAATATAACAAAAAAAAAATTAATAATTAATATTTTTCTTCTCTTTCATGTTTATGAATATAACAAAAAATATATATATATATATATATATATATATATATTATATAATTTTTTTAATATATTTAAATTATCCAAATAGTATAATTTAATATATTGTATGTGAAAGATGATAAATTTTTAAGATGTTATCGTCATAACTATTATTCATTATTCCAATGTAATAAGATTTAATAACAAATAGTTTGCCCAATTCAACAGAAGTCACACTCATCAAGGATTTACTGCCAAGGAAAAAAATGAAAAAAAGAAGAAAAAAATAAAAAGATAACAAAAATTTGCATTCTTTAAAAAAATGACATAAAAAATGTTATTTAAAAATAATAAATAATAAAATTAAAATTTAATATTTATTTAATTGTAAAATTATCTATATAATTATTAATTATTTTTTATTAAAGACATATTTTTAAAAATTAATACCTTTAAATTAATATCTATTTATTTAATAATATATAATTTCATATAACTGTAAAATATTTTTATTATCAATTATTTTTCTAATATTTTTTAAAAACTAGTAAAATAACGTCATGTTAAAAAGATATTAAATTATTAATTTAATTTTATATGAAATTTTATTAAAATGGTAATTATATATATATATATATATATATATATATATATATATATGAGTAGAAAATAAATTTGCATGAAATGTGAACATTTCATTGTCTTTTTTTACTACTGAATAAAAATTATTTATTTTTCTTACATTTTCTTATATTAATCATTTTTCACCTTCCATTTTTCTTATAAAAAAACGAAACATAAATTATTATACTTATTGATATATCCAAATTAATCTTATTTTTTGGTGACATATAAATATTATTGTGAATAAAAATATAAAGGAATCAAACTATTTAACTTCACTTATTAATTAATTATTTAAATTTATTTATTCAGTTAAAAAATTAAATTTCAAATTAAATTATTATTTATTTAAATGAGTTTAGTCTAAATTTAAGGAAAAGACAATTGCTTTTTATTTTTTTCTCGGTAATATTTTAATGAAAAAAATCATCAAAATAATTTATAAGTTTAATTGATTATTGATTAGATAATAATAATTTCTCAATTATTTTTGTTCAACATATATTTAGAATATATTAATTATTTACTTATTTATTTATAATCAATCTTACATCTTAACTATTTATTTTTTTGTTAGTACTATTCCTAAAGCGTGAATGCAGGGAGTAGTGTGTGGGGTGTGATAAGAAGGTGGGACCACCGCGCAAAACACGCGAACCAATTTGACTCTCAAGAAAAAGTCAAACCTACACACCATTTTTATTTTCTCAATCTACTTACTGTGTTTAATTTTGACAACAATAAATGTAACTTTATTTTATCATTTAAATCAACTCTTTTCATTGACTTATATTTAATGTAAAACATATCAAATTTTTAATTTCTTTAATTTTTTCTAAATCAATCAAATATGTTTTAATTGTAATTAACAAGTATCATATTATATTTAATATTGACTGATAATTTTTAATGTATTCATTAAAAACTACAAAGTGAAAACTATCATTTAATGACATTATTTTTGTTTGATAGAAACTATATTCTAAAATATAACAAATTAAAAGCTTAAGAAATATTATTATATTTTTAATAATTTTAATTTATTTTAAATGTTGGTATTAAGTCATTGGTATATATTTAAAATATTAAATAAATATATTTTTATTAGATAGTTTCTATTTCACTTTTAATTAATATTTCATGAATAATCATTAATATTTATTTCAAACGGATAATATTTATTTATATTAAATGATTTAAAACGTCTTTCTTAATGGATATTTTTCAGTTCAAACACTATTTAATTTCATATTGTAGTGTTTGATTATATCAAATAAAACATATATACTCATTTAAATGTTAAGTTAAAAAATTGCTTCCTTCTTTTCCTTTATTTTTCTTTTAAAAATTTAATGTAAAAACCAAAAAGTATAATAAAATTTCCTAGTAAAATAATTATAGCATTTCTATATTTAATCTTTTTGTCTACATTATGATAGTTTTATTAAAATAAAAAATTTACTTTATATTTGTTGTTTCTAATGCGCCTTCCCAAATCTGAACTTACCTTGCTCATAAACAGACTCTCTTCAGAATACATTAATTAGTGTCAGCATCACTAAGATTATTAGAACTTATTATTGAAGTATAAAAATCAGAAATTTCATGGTAAAATTAGAATCTTTATTAAAAATAAGATTAAAGATTTATCTATAAAACTAAGTCAGCAGAGTAACATCAATAATTATTGCAAATTTGGAATGAGTTTTGGTCTAAGTGATGAACAAAAATCTTGGTTGTACTTCACTACACAAATTATTCCACGTTTGTATTGTGTTGGGAGTACTCAGTCAGCAAAATAATAACATATTATGCATCCAAATCCACTAATATACTTTCCTTTCCAAGTTAAAAAAATAAGCAACCATTGAGTAATAATAAGTAATTACCTAGAGTGGACCATAAAGGAGACAAGGGGTGCCTCAACCTATGATTTAACCGCTAGAGTGGCGTGTGTACCTCACTCCTATCCATTATCAAAATAAATTTGGTTAGGATTCAGATCTCACCACCACACCAGAGAGAGTAGATGCAGTTGCAAGCTGGAATGATTAGTCTCTTCAAGACATAAATCTGTGTATTCAAGAGTTTCATCAGAGAGACAAAACCTGATCTTGTGCTAAATTCCAAAGAAAAACCAATATACAATTCCAGAGTGGTCCTGGATGCTGGTCCTGTCCCTTTGATGCCTGTACCAGTCTTCCATGAGGCTCCTTCTTTTGCAATGATCCCTTTCATTCTTTTTTGTCTTGTTCACCATTGTGCATTTCTTTACTCCCAGTAAAAGGGTCACACACAAAAAAACACACAGACTTGTACATATTTGACAAGCTCAAACTCTCACACCGCACTGCCTGTGATTGCAAACTCCCCAAAGACCTGGCCAAAACCATTTGCTTTGACATTTTCCAAATTTCCTATTCTATTCCCCGTTCTCTTACTCTTTCACTTTCATCCTCCTCTCTTTCACTAATTTGTCCTATAAAAATCAACAAATTAAGATGGGAAATGAAAACCATCAGCACCACCATTTTTACTATCAGAAAAGCACATTCCTTCCAATGCTTTGTTCACGGCCTTCCATCAAACAGGTGACTCTGCCACGGTTCAAAGACCCTTCTGCTCCCTCTGCCAACGACCCTTTATCCCCAAGAATCAGTTGCATGGGTCAGGTCAAGAGAAACAACAAAATAGCTGGCATCCCTCCCTCTCACAGACTCACTTTTACAAACAAAACTAACACACCCTCCCCAGGTGTCAAATACTCCAAGCTCAAAAAACTCTTTTCTGGGAAGAACTTCATCATTAGCACCCCCAAAACCACCACTGCCGCCGCCACCACCACCAACACCATCTCAACCTGCAGATCAAGACAACAAGTTTCAGATGTGCCCAAAAACCAAAAGTGTCTCAAGAGTGAGAATAACAACAATGTTGTTTGCATGAGGAGCATTGAAGACATGGATCCTCCTTTGCCTGTGGTGAAAAGAGTTCCCAAGTTGGAGAAAGGAAAAGAATTGGATAGTCTCTGGAGAAGGAGATCTGGTACAGGTAAGCCCGAACTCAAAAGTTTACAGCTTCAACAGATTCACCATCCAAGGATTTGTCATCAACCTCCAACTGTTTGATAGCTGTAGCATAGAATCAAATCAACAGATCCAATCCAGAATTGTTTTTTTTTCTTTACCAGATTGTTACGAACATCATCATATACAATGTAAAGGGTTTTGTGTTCTCTTTTCATTTTCTCAGCTTCCAATTTCCCAGTGTTGCTTGCTCGATTTCTTGAAGCATCTCACATGGTGGCGATGCAGAGTATCATGGTCATGTTTTGGGATACACCAATAAATCGGTCAAAGTCAAATGGTCAAAAATTAAATGCGGATTAATTATTTTATTTTGTGTTTCAAATGGTTTAGTATTAAAATTAAGATTGGTGATATTTTGACAACTAGAAACCATACAACCCTTCAAACAACTCACTTTTATTAATATAATAATCTATAAAATGATTTAATAAAAATAAAAATAAAATAAAACTATTATTATAATATTAAAATAGAGTTGTTTATAGGAGTTGTATGGATTTAGGTTGTCAAAGTATCATTTTCCTAAAATTAATTAGTTCTATGTCATATTTTTTTTAGAACATTTATGGCAGATTTTTACTTTAAGAAAAGGGTAAAAGCAAAGTTTTTTGAGAGTAAAAAACCAATTAAAAAAATAATTTTAATATAAAATATGCGTTTTTTAATGAACTTTTTTATTATATATATAATTCTAAAATGAACTTAGACACGTCACAAATATGTTGAATAAGTTAAATCAATTATATTAAAATTAATTTTAATTAATTTAAAAATAAACAGCTCAATTTTTTCTAAGAAAAGTGTTCTGAAACAATATCAATGAAATCTTATATCTTCGGTTTTTAATTAACTTGTAAAGGGTTATTTATACTTTTATCATGTCTCATTATAACTTATTCTATGAAATCACTTAAAAACTTTAAGAAAAAGACTTACCCATTATCTCATATTTTCATATTTTGTTAAAATTACTATATCAATATTAAAATATATTTTTATATGAAAACCATTCTTACATCATCGTGTCTAATTGGACCTGAATCCGTGTTCTTCATCTTCGATAAAACTTATGTTTGGAAATGGTCTAAGAGCAATCCTCTAGGAAGAAAGAAAATTTATAATAATGAACTTGCATTGTATACATAAAAATATTAGTTGCTAATTCCTTCTAATGGTCAACAAACATAGATAACGTAGCAATAACATGATAGAGGGTATATTATTATTGAAGTAAGATGTTGGGGTCACTGTTCTATTAAAATAGGACAGTTGGACTTTGGTCACTTTGGTGCATCCTCAAATTCCAAACTCTGGAAAATTTGTGCAAACCTTAGGTTTTATTTGGTAAGAGATAAAAGCAAAAAGGAAAGAAAAAAAAAAGAGAGGATATAATTGAAAAAAGTGAAAGAGTTATCATTTACACTTTTTTCTTATTCATCCAAAAGGGGGAATGGGAAATTATAAGACCCATTTAATGTCAATCAAAAGACCATTTATTTGAATGTCCATGTGATTTTCTTATCAAAATTTGTAAACCAGGAGCAATATTTGAATTAAAGAGAAGTGATTGAGAAGTATGGTTAGGAATAGAAAGTCAGCATTGTACACTGTGAAAGCGAAGTGGAGATAGTAAATCCTCTAAAAAAAGGGCAAATGGTATAATTAACTAATGATTTGTGAAGGTGGAGAGAAGTTGAAGTCAACAACATCAGGCCATAGTATGAATACGTTTATCTCTCTGGGACGAAAATTTTCAATTGTGATATTGAATACGTTTATCTTTAGAAACAACGGGGTAGATAAACTGATTTAAATAACAAATGATGAAGTCACGGTTTGTGTTTCCAGTTTTTAACATAATGTATCACAATATTTGTTTATTATCGGTTTTGAAAACAGATTGAATGCAAGTTTAACCGGGAACTAATTTATTTTAAAATAATTAAATTTTAATTAAATCAGAATAAAATTAATATAATAAGAAAAGCAATGATTTTTTTTTTAAATCAAGACAATCTTTTCTTAAATTTAACAGAACTTGATCATGCATAATCTTTTCTATAAATGAGACTATGTCATACACAGGGACAATTAGTCATTTCACATAAATTTCAAATCATAGATGAATGGCTAACCAATTCGAATATGAGAATGAAAAGAAGATAATAGTCTTCTTTTTATGCAGATTAATCTATTTTATGGATTAACATTAATTATCAAGTAATGTATTTAATTTATCATAATTATGTTCAATAGTATTTATTATACCACTTGGTGAATATATAGAGAATGGGGTTGTGTTGAATAACTCCTGATGAACATTTATTTCAAGCACAACCATTTATTCTTTTTCTTATAAAATATGTTAAATAAAGGGCACAGCTCACAGTGGTTCAGTAAATAGAAACTCTCTCCTCTTTTCTTTTCACTTTATTTCTCACTCCCTTAATAAATCAATAATAGATAAACAATTTTTTTTTTAAGACTTTCAAAATTGATAACTAAATTCAACCTCAATCTAAGAACAACTGAAAAATAAGTTCATTTTTTCTTGGACCTATAATTTTAACTTACATCCTATGTTTACTAGAAAAGATAGTATTACCTCTATACGTAAATTTCGATGTTTTAGAATGTACCATATTAATATATTCATTTTTTTTTAATGTACCATATTAATAAATAAATAAAAACTTAAAATTGATGAATTCGGATTATATAATATTTTTTAAAAAGTTTAGAGTTAATCAATTTTAAATATATAACAATAATATTTATTAAAGTTTCATATTGGCGAATTAAAAAAAAAATTAATTAAAGAATCTTAATTAAAAAAAACGTATAGATTATTAAACCCGAAATTTTTCGAGATAAAAGGCGTCGATAATCCTACTACGTGTGGAGGGTGGTCAGAATGATACTGCGGGTGTCGATCACAATGTGCCTACAGATGATAGCATCTGAGTTCAGATATAGTTAGGGTAGACTTCCGAAAGACGTCTTAGTTTATTAATGATTTGTAATTGATGATAATATGTAATTATTACTTTTATATCTGTTTTATTATATCGAATAATTTAATACTTATCCCTATTTTTCCATGTGGATGAGACTGCTATGATCACTTTTATGTGGGAGCATATCAGGAGTTGAGAGGTGGAAATGCGACTACTGGACAACAGGGATAGTTCAGTGGAATAGCTTTGTGGGAGCTACTTTTACATGTATCTGTATAAATAAATTATGTTACTATATTCTAAGGTTCCGCCAGTGAACCGAGATTTCATTCTATATTACAATTACAGTAATATAATGTAATATAGATATTGTTATTTACTTGTTTATAATTTTGCAAAGGTATCATTATAGTAGCGATTTCTAGGGTCGTTACAATAGTGGTATCAGAGCGGTAGTATCCTTGTAAATTTGTGGGGATGGGTAGTAATCCTATGATAAGTCTGTTGTGCTCTGATATGTGAGTGTGTGTGAATGTTTGCTCTGTATTTATGGTTGTGTTTGATATAGGATGACACCATGACCTCCTACTCCTACTCTGCCGAGTGTAGATGCCCTAGCCAGGACAATGGAAATGTTGGCAGCTACCATGCAGCAGCAGACTACCTACCCACAGTGGAGGTCAACTATGGTGTCATCCTCTACTGGATTCCACCAATCAGAGTAGATGGGGCTGACTGAGTTCATGAGGCATAATCCTCCTCGTTTTGGAGGAGATTTGGATCCAGATGCAGCAGAGAAGTGGCTACGTGAAGTGGAGAAGATTTTTGAGGCTACCTTATGCCCAGAGGATAGGAAATTGACCTTCGAAAATACTTACTAGTGGATGAAGCTGAGTTCTGGTGGTTAGGGACTCAGAGGATGATGACTGCACGTGGGCATGTGTGTTATTGGGAAACCTTTCGTGAGAGATTTCTGGAGAAATACTTCCCTGGTAGTGTTAGATTTCAGAAGGAGACTGAGTTCCTGAGTCTAAGACAGGGCAATATGACGGTGCATGATTATGCCATACAATTTGAGCACTTATCTCGTTTCTACACAGGTACATCTTCAGAACAGTGGCTTTGCAGGAAGTTTGAGGAGGGTTTGAGGACTGAGATCAAGCTCATGGTGGTTCCTTTCTCTATCAGGAGATTCCCAGAGCTGGTAGAGAAAACAAAGACAATAGAGAGACTCTAGGAGGGAGGAGTCAGAGTGATGAGGATCCATCCAAGTGGGGTCCCGAGTGGGGGTAGTAGATCAGAGAGGAGAATGTCTTATTCACGCCCCCAGTCTTCCAGGAGTGGCATCGTTACCCCAGCACCCAGATCATCGGGATCTATATCCGGGGTGAAATGTTTTCAATGTAGAGGCCCTCATTACAGGAATCAGTGCCCACAGAATGCCTTCACTACTCCTTCCAGACTTCTCGGGCAGGTCTTTGCTACACTTGCCAGAAGCCAGGACATATGGCTAGAGACTGTCCACAGAAGCCCAGTGCTACAGTCTCAATTGGGGCATCATCAATACCCAGGGGGAGTGAGGCGAAACCCAGAGCTGCATGGCGGGTGTTTGCCTTGTTAGGAGCAGAGGCATCAATGTCAGAGAATTTAGTGCAAGGTGTGTGTTTTATCTCTGATATACCTCTACGAGTTTTGTTTGATTCAGGTCCTACCCATTATTTTATTGATGATAATTGTATAGATAAACTTAAGTTACCGATATGTGATCTACCCTATGAATTGAAGGTATCTACCCCAGCAGCTGAACTGGTGGTTTCTTCTTATGTGTGTTTGAGGTGCCCAGTTGTCGTATAAGGATGACAGTACAAGGTGAACTTAATCAGTTTACCTTTGAAGGATTTGGATGTGATCTTAGGGATGGATTGGTTATCCACCAATCACATTTTGATTGACTGTGGACAGAAGAGATTGGTGCATACGGAATCAGGAGATGATCTTATTACATCAGCTCGGCAGGTTCAGAAAGAGCTATAAGAGGGAGCTCAATGTTATCTGATCCTGACTCAGATGGATGGAGTGAAG